TTGGAAATTATATCTGTGTTATGGTAACTGTCTCTTGCCGATCGGTTGGGTTTTGGGCATCTGTAATCTTAGGTACATCAAGTCAGGTTTCACCTGACATTGGAAGCTCAGGGCATCTATGCTAAGTGTAATGTTACATAGTACATGTACATAGAGAAATATAAAACTGGAGTCGTATAAGGCTTCAGGCAAACCCATGATAAGACCATCGGGCATAGAAAGCTAAGAAACTGAAGAGACAGAAACTCACTTGGAAATCCCAAGTAAAAAGGTAGCACAAACTTTCAATGGTGCCATTGGACTGACAGAAGCCCATGAAACACTTTCATAGGAACTGTCGGATAAACTGGATGACAAAGATGTATAGAGGAGCACATGACCAACCAGGCCACTGAAATCACTGAAGGAAAAGGATACATAAGTATACTATACTGGGCTATCTGGATTGGGAGTCTGGCGAGTCAGTTAGTTCTGAGTTGCAGCTAGTAGAGGATGATGAAGAAGAAGTCAAAAAGATGGGTACCAGGATTTGGGTGAACTTTACAAGGATTAGCGGTTTAAGAGGTAATCTTGACTGCAAGTGTTGGCCCTGTTCATAGCGTTAAACCAGGTTAGCGATAAAAGGAAATATGGCTTACTCTAGTAGGTTTACCTCGAGGATAAAAATAGTCTAAAGATTATAGTCCTATGGTTGAATGCGAATAGATCCAGGTATGTGATCTGGTAAAATTAATACTAGGGTTAGATCAAAGGGTTTAAATAGAACATCTAAGCAGGGGTGTTAGGTACAGCAACTGGTGGGGAACCCTTAGGCAGACTCCTTAAATAGGTAATATAGAAAATTTATATATATAGCCAGTTGTATACTCGTCTAATAGTTTATTATAGATACATCTATATAAAATATGTACCTGCTATAAGTATTAATAAAAAGCTTGGACCAAAGAGGTTACCTTAATACTGAAAAAAAAACTATATTTTAAATATTTCAAAAAGCAATACACCTATTTTACAAATTTATAATACTTCTAAATTTTATATTAATATTACTTTAAATATTTTTCTTTAAGAATTTAATATAAACTATCATATTCTACCTTTTTAGTTAATCAAATTACAATTTGATATATGGTTTCAAAAATTTTTTACATATTACAAAAAACAATTTAGTAATATCAATAAACAAAAAGTTTACAATTATATTAAATATCAAATAATAATAGCAACTAATAATAAATACAAAAAGCTAATTCTTCAAAAACCTGAACTACCAACTATTTGATCCATTCAAAACTAAATAAACTATACTACCAAAACAGCAATAGATCATATATACATCTGTATTAATCTGAAAAAATGTAAAATTCTTAATCTAAAAATAACTCATAATATTTACAATCTAACTTCTTATTACTTTAAACAATTCTTTAATACTATAACAATATATATATCCATCTTTAAATCTTTTTACTTTCATTTCAGCAACATTTTATACACTCTTATTTTTTAAAGAACTTTATAAACTAGCTAACCAATCTGAACAAATCTTTATCCAACTAAACAATACATTTACTAATTCTAAACATATATCTTATTTCTTTTATTGCTATTTTAAAGCTTACTTTAAATCTGTAGCAACAAATAATGAAATTATTAATCTTAATCTTAAAGAAGTATTGAACAAAATCTTCTTTCAAACAAGTGATTCATAAATTCTAGCCAGAATTATTGCCTATTACAACATTATTCAAATCTTTAAACCAACTATTATTCAACTTAAAAAAAACCTTAACAAGTCATATTTTGATCAAGCAAACTAATATATTATCAAAAAACTTAATATTGTTATACTTATAGTATCAGAAACTGATTTTATCTACACTTTCAATATATCTAAAATTATCAATAAACTTGATAATAGCCTTTTTTTCTAGTAATATCTATATATTTCTGTTAACTTTTCTTTATCTATTTACCTATTCAATCTATATTACTTATCTTAGCTACATTCTTACAATTCTGTTAACTTTCTTTATCTATTTGTTTATCCAATTAACACTACTTTTTACTTTTTTAACTATATTTTATTTCTTATTTAATTTATCTTACCTTAATTTCTTTTCTTTATAATGATGTAATTAACTTTTAATAGTATAAATAATTAGTAAAATCTATAAATAACTTGTTAATATATTAGAATAATAAATATTATTTAGAAAATTTCAACTAATCTAAGTGAGCCTTAGCTATTCTAGTAAATTTAAGTTGCAGATAAATATGTCTGAGCTCTTATTTTTATATGTAGCATTTATATTACTTGAAGTTATAATTTTATAGTTAGCAGTTTAATAATTAGTTCTGATTACAAGTGTTGGTTTTAGCTATAGCATATATAGAACTTTTTTTTGTATTCAGTAACTCTATATAATTATTACTTAATAACTACAAATAAAGATAGAAGCAAGACTTTATCTTAATACCAAAAAAAAATAAAAAAAAATAATTATATTTTTTTATTATACTTTAATTCTATTTTTCTAAAAAATTTAGATAAATCTGAATAATAGAAAATTACTGTTATTATAATATTATATTATTTATAAAATTAATAAAAAAAAGTATTACAACTAGTTAGAACTAAAGTTTTAGAAACTAAAATTTTAGAAACTAATAGTTTAGTTACTAAAGATTTAGAAAATAAAAGTTTAAAAACAAACTTTCTAAGAATTAAAGTTTTAGAAATTGAATAAATATTTGATTTTTTTTAAAAAATATTGATAATAATAATAAAATAAAAATTGTTTAAACATTGTTAATATTAAGAGTTTTATATATTTTTGATCATAACTTTTGATGTACTAAACCAAATTGAATAAAACAACTACCATTGAATTTAGCTCATCGAGATAATTCTAATAAGCACAAGATCATATGATTCTGATCACAGAATCACAAGATCAGGACGATTTTGATAAAAACATTAATTCTAATACATGTGACTTAATTCTGATTGGTTCATATTATTGTGTTGGAAATCTAACAAATCTAACATTTCTCATAGATTTATTAGATCTAACATATCTAACATATCTAACATATCTAACATATCTAACATATCTAACAGATATTATATATCTATTAGTTCTTATATATCTTAACATTACTATAAATAAAAGTTATTAGCAATAGAGTAGTCTTTATTGTAATAATTTATAAATGTAAAATATCTATAAAAGTACTGCTTTCTAATCCTTCAAAAAAGTTAAGTGTCTTCATATATTTCAATAATAAATAAACTAAATATAATATTTAGTATCTTCATATATTATCTATTGTTGTCTCTGCCTTAAAATCCCAAATCACTCTGTATTTTGTTAAGTCTTATATAGATTTTTTGTATAGAATCTGTCAAGTTATAGTTATTATAGTATAGTTGAACAGTTTCTGTTATCACTATGGTTAAAGGAAAAACTACAAGTTAATAATTTTGGTAGTGACTGTAAGATAAGTTCTCAATTCATTATAAATAATTAATTTTAGTTAGTCATAAGGAAATTTTATCAATATTGGTCTGTTTAACCTGAAATTTGAAGAATATATAATTGAAAATCTCTATATCTTTTCTACTAAACATATTTTAATAAAAAAATTCCTCTGAAACCTGCTATTCAACATCAAAATAGTGATAATATTTTTGATTTGCAAAGAATTTGTAAGAAATCCCTCTTGGAAAAGCATTTCGACTATTGGTATACAAACTTTAAACATCCATATCTCAACAACCACTCGACTAATTTTAGCATTTTAACCTCCTTTAGGACCAAAAGAACTCTCTCTACAACTTTCTTTTAAGTAATAAAGCCTATTATTATAGTAATTTCAAAAAATATTTACTAATTTTTAAAAAATTAGAATTTAGAAATGAAAATATAAGTGTTTGTATTGTGACAAATAGTTTTTAAATAGATAGTATATACAATTTAATTTTGAAAAATACTTATTAAAAGTATTCTTATATATTAAAGAATATATTATTCAAATATTCTTATCTTAAATAGACACTTTTCTTGAATAAATTCTTTCAAAAAGAATAACAACCCAAAAGAATCTTTTAAATTAATTCAAAAGACTTAGACTAATAGCTTGGCTTAAAGTCTTTAAACTACAAAATTTATAACAAAAAAAAATTATTATTAGATAGATATTATATATTGTTATTAGATAATCTTTCTTTAAGAAACCTAAAATGAATAGTAATCTAGAATTATTTGTAGCTTTATTCTTAGTTTTAGTTATAATCTTTTTATTTAAATTAGTTAGAAATGCTATATTTAAGGTACTTGTAAATCATGAACATAGCCTGATACTGGCAAGTTAATAAGTACTATGCATGGTAAAGAATTAGCAATTTTAAAAAAAATAGTAAACCTAAAGAGAAGTTCTGTATTAAAAATAGTTATAACTAGAAAAAGTTGATGAATATTGTTGCAATTGATCTGAAAATTTAAGAACATATTTTTTGAAAAATTCTACATCTTTTCTACTAAGCTTATTATAGTAAGAAAATGCTACTCTATTTCAAAAATCATATGATAGCCTTTTTTGCTTCTATAAAAGAAACTTTAAAGAAAGATTAAAGAAATAAAAGAAACATTTTAAATTTCTTAAAATTAATATAGAAAATTATCCACTGAGCCAATTTTAACATTTCAACTATTGTTAAAATAGTTGAAGTCTGCTCTATAACTTTAATTAAGAGCTCAAGACATGTTTACTTAGTACCAAAACTATTTTCAAAACAGTTTTATAAAGATAATTTAGAACAAATTACTGTGTTATAAAGATAGAAAATTTTGAAAATTTTTATAACTTAAATGAAATTATATAATCTATAAAGTCTCATTTCTTTTAGATTATACTATATCTTGAGATACTAAAGAAAATGACTATTTAAACATTATATACAAACATTATATTTATCTATCTTATTTTCTTTTATATATTTTTATTATTAGTTTATAATTATTCTTTTTCTTGTAAATAATATAAAGTGATTGTTGTATTTGTAAATAGTATTCTGATAAGTATTAGCTTTATATTATTGAAATTTAAAGACTATATATAGCTGTAAACAGTCTGGTTATTAGTACTTCTTCCTCTGAACATTTTTAAGATTTAGTATCTAGTAATCCTTGTAAATGATAAACAATTTTGTTATGTTTAACCAATACAGAAAGAACAATAGATAAAAAAACTCTACTACATAATTCTATTCAACCCTTATAGTATCTAAGAGGCTATTAAATTTAAATTTCTTAAACACTTATTTATTTGTCTTCTTATTTTTTTTTAGTATTAGAACTTTTATTTTTAAATTACAATATAATTTGAACAAAATTTTATTAATTTTATATAAAAAATAAATATATATATATATATAACAAAAGAAAAAATAATTTATTTAGTATTTTTTCTTCACTATTACTATTATTATTAGTATTATTATTATTACTACTATTATTATTATTATTACTATTACTAGTATTATTATTACTTTTTTTTTTTTTTTTTTTTTTGTTATTTATAAACCTTAGTCGAAGGTTTTTTTTACTCTAAGCTATATACATGTTTCTTGAGGTTATTTATTTCTTGAAGAAGCTTTTTCTCAAATTTTCTTTTTTTCAACTCAGCATATGCATCATTGAGTTTATTTTTAAGACAAATACAGTTTGGACAACCAGAACTACTTGTATATTCTTTAGTTTTCTTTTTCAACTAAACTAAAGAACTTTGAATTGCTGCTATTGTATCTTGTAAAGAACTAAGATAGGTTAATAGGTCTTGATAAGAGGCAGTAGAAGTATATGTAAATGAAGAAGCAAAAAATTAGATTATGTTAAAGCTATATTTTTCCAAAGATATTTTTTTTACTAAAATAAAAAATATAAAAGAATTGTTAATATTTTTCTATAAAGTAAAAAAATAATAAGATAATGAAAAGTTCTGTCATAATAGAGAAAACAAAGAAAAAGTGTGTATAAAGAATAGAAAGGACTAGCTATACAATATTAAATATTGAGCTATGATCCTTTCTCACTTTAACCTAGGCATTTAAGAAGTTAAACTAAAAAAAGAAGAAATTCTAAGTGATTCAGTGAAAAAGCTAGAGTTTCTCTATGAATTAATTTTTTTTTTTTTAAATATTAAGGTGAGTACTTGCGATTTAGAATTTTATTGATAGTACATTCAGCTAATGGTTGCATTACAACCACAGGGGGCAACCATGAAAAGAGTATACAACTAGCCACTCATATAACTTAGTCATTATCTAATTTAAGTAATCCACCTGAAGGTTCTACACTAGCTGCCATACCTGAAACCTACTTGTAAGTTCCCTATTTAACTACTCTGTTTCCATATCCACCCACCTACCTATACCTACCAAGATGCTCCGGTCGATACCAGCACAAATATGCCATGGTCACTAAGTCTTTAAAGCAGCTCATTCATATAGAAAACCTTTGACCTTGTACTAAACCTTCCAGAATTTTTTGTATCCTATTCTTACAGCTAACCTGGTATCACTATGGCTAAGACCAACACTAGTGGTCAGGGCGTACCATTTAACTGCTATGCCCTTGTAGAGTTCACCCCAACCCCGGTACTGACTTCACAACATATTCCTACTACTTTGGTATTCAATTCAAGTTCTACCAAGCTCCCAAATCAGATAGCCTGGAAAGGCAGATCGTAACCATACACCTTTAATTTACATGTTTGCTGGCATGTAAGCTTTTCCTCTGGAACCTGAAACTTCCAGTGGCCTGGTTGGTTCCATTTAGCCCCTTCTCAAAGACCGGCTCTTTGCCCGGTTTCACAAGTTTTAGCTCTGTTTCATAGATCTAGTCTTTACAGTAGTACTGTCGAAAGTTCAGGTTACCTCTTTACTCAGATCTTCCAAGTGGACTTCTGTCCTCCTACCTGGTTCCTATGATTTACATGGTCTAAGAACTTATCTTGGGTTCACATTGCCCGGTACCAGTTTGTGTTCCTTCATACAATGTTGCATGAATGCCTAGACCTTCTAGTTAGACTAGTATGACATGGGTTACAGGTATCCTATCCCAACCAATTATGGAAGACAGTTAGCCATAACACAGAAAGAATTGCAAATTTTTGCCATCACTGAGATTTGAACTCTAGGCCTGCCACTTGGAGGTTGACAACCTATCCACTTCACTAGGTCACTACACTCCTTCTCTATGAATTAATATAATAATTATAGATGAAAAAAGTTAAAAAAAAGAAAATAAAAAGATAATAACTTTTTAAAATCAACTATATAGATGTTAATGAAAACCAAATAAACAATCAATTAGTTTTATAACAAAAAAATAATTATAAAAAATTTTGGGATAATTGATAATCATTTTTCTAAAACAAAGCATCAAAATCCGATAAGTTTGATCATTTTCTATACTTGGTATTCTGAACTATTTGAAAAGTTCTAGAGAAAAATTCAAGTTTATTATTGAACTTAGAATAATAAACCACTATAGTTGTCAATAGACAAATAATTAAATATAAAAATTTAGTATAATGATAAACAAGATTAAAGTTTAAAGTCTAGATTAGCTAATAGAAACTTTTAGAATATTATTGATAAAATCTAAAAATAGGATAATAGAATACAATTATCAAATACAGAAATTAATTAAAAATTGATTTAACAAATTTAGAATTGCAAAGA